GCTGCCCCCAGAGGCAGCCAGCAGCAGGTTCCCAGCCAGTGGGAGGGTGGAGCTAGCGCTCAGGGTGGGGGCAGTGCGTGGAGCCCTGTGCGCTCTCCTCCCCTCTCCCCCGTCACCGAGAAGCTGGGCCTGCTGCCGGCCGCTTCTGGGGTGCAGCGCAGTCTGCGATGCCAGGCCAGGCAGGGAGCTGCCTTAGCCCCCCCACTGCTCACCTGCTCCCCCTGCAGCCGTGAGACTGAGCGCCCGACGTTCCATGTAGGGTTGCCAGGTGTCCGGTATTTTCTGACTTTTTTTCCCTGGCCAGGAGGTGAAAATACTGAACACCTGGCAACCCTACGACACACTTGGCAACTGGGCCCAGCCCCTGGCCTCCCCCTGCTTACCTGGGAGTGGGCGGGGGGGAGATAAAGAAAACAAGATGACTGCTGGCAAAAAACTCTAAAGACCTGAAACAAGGGGAAGCAATATCTTCCCTGGGTCTTAGTGCTCAGCTTCTTCCTATCCCTATTCTGACTGCATACACTTAAAAGGGGAGGTGCTGTGTTATTTTATTTTATTTTATTTTATTAATAACTCTCGGGGTCCTTTTTTTTTTCTCAACAGCTTTGGTCTTCTTCCTCTTTTTCCCCAGTGTTTTTTTTGGTGTTTGGTTTTTTTGGTTAAACCATCTGGCAGCCCTAGTTCCATGCCCCAGTGCTGGGTCAGGACCCGTTGTTTGTAAACAACGGCACTAGAATAGTAGGGGTACGGTAGGTCTCATTAGATGCCCGGCACTGTGGGAACTCGCGCCGCCCTGGCAGTGTTGGCCTTGCGTCTGCTCTCAGGAGCGTTCTAGCCCGTGTCTTGGCAGAGCGGTTTTGGTGATTTGAAACTGAGCAAACGCTGCTGAAAAGAAACCTTTGAAACGGGCCTTGGTTCCCCTCTCGCGCTTCAATCCAAACTTCTCTTTTCTAGGGCAATTAGATGCCCGGCACTGTGGGAACTCGCGCCGCCCTGGCAGTGTTGGCCTTGCGTCTGCTCTCAGGAGCGTTCTAGCCCGTGTCTTGGCAGAGCGGTTTTGGTGATTTGAAACTGAGCAAACGCTGCTGAAAAGAAACCTTTGAAACGGGCCTTGGTTCCCCTCTCGCGCTTCAATCCAAACTTCTCTTTTCTAGGGCATTCCGGACCCCAGCCACCTGCCTCTGGTCGCGGGCTGGAAGACCTACCCGCTGTTTTTTGGCACGGCTATCTTTGCTTTCGAAGGGATTGGAGTGGTGAGTGTTGGCTTGTGGGTAGTGCCAGAATCTGCCACGCTCTTCTGCTGTCTTCTGTAGGGGAGCTGTATGTGCAGATAAACCTCTGTGAGCTGAACTTTTGGCCGGGGTGACTGGCATTCACTGTGTACACAGAGCTTCCCTCTGTCAAATCTCGCTGCCGCTAGGGCGGAGGGAGGGGATCGGGCCCTTTTAAGAAATCTCGAAAGCCTTTATACTAAAGCAGAAATTGTTCAATTGCTTCCTCCTTGGATCTAAAGCTTTCCTGTTGGGTTTTCTGACGGAACAGCTTTCGGGCAGGCTACCTGGGTAGCCTCTTGAGTAGCCTGTTAGCTTACAGCAGTTGTGGTTCAGTTTCCTCTGGTGCTAATTACATAAGTCTTCTTCCTAGGAGGTGCTGTCACTAGAGCAGCAGGCTAATATGGAGGAGGTGGCGGGTGGGTGGAGCTCTGCTTATTATCTTGATTAAACAGCCCAGATTATTTCCACGGGTAAGAGGACAGCTGTTGTCATTTCTTGGCAACCTGGCAGCATAAACAGATGAGGTGGAAGCAGCAAGTCCATCAAGAACCTAAAAACAGCCACACGGGGTCAGACCAAAAGTCCATCTAGCCCGGTAATCTAGTTCCAAGCCAAGACACCAAAGTATTGACAAAATGCACTGCACAGGACTGTGTACAAGTTCTCCGACCCCAGCAGTGTTCACAAAGCACCCACGGGGCAGTGGGAACAAAAGCTTTGTCTTTGGCTTATTCTGCGCCTCTCTCACTCCCTCTCCAGCAGCTGTGCTTTGGTGACCTGTTCGAGAGCCCGCTTTAAAAACCGGCGCAGTCTAAAGCAATAGAGCAGCTCTCAGGACACAAGGGCTAACTGCGAAAGTTAAAGTGCGTCAGAAGCAGGAAGCCTGTCAAACGGTCTGTGGGGCCGCTGGACGACCGAGGTGCTAGCGGAGCCCTTGAGGAAAAACAGGCTACTGTGGAGAAGCTAATTCTTTGCCTCAGTCTGTGTAGAGGCCCACACCCGAGCCCGTCCTTTTAGGTGACAGACTTGAAGAACTATTCCAGACTGAGGTATCAGTAGAGGCAGGTCTGGCCCTGGGGGGGCAGGGACAGGAGGCGAGGCTTGGGGCAACTCTCACCAGTGCCCAGGGCAAAACACCACCCGGCTTTCTCCAAGCCACACAGTCTGGGGCACTGTGGGGCCTGGTGCAGTGCAGCAGTGGGGTCACCCCTCTCCCACACTCACTGTGGTGGCGGGAGCCAGGGCAGCTTGCCCTGCTCCACTCTATTGCCCTCTCCTAGCCTGCTGAGCCCTGCTTCTCCGTGGTGGTGGAAAGTGGAAGGCCCTCTGGCTAAGGTGCTGCTGCAGAGAACCACAGTGTGCTGGCCAGAGAGGGTAGCATAACGGAGCGGAGCAGGTTGCCAGGCCGTGACAGATTCTGCCACCACGGTGGGTGTGGAAAGGTAACCCCTTTGCCATCCTGCATTAGGCCCCCATAATCCCCTGGGACCCTCCCATCCATAGGACGGTGGAGGCAGCCGCCGCATGGCCCCCAAAGTGCAGGGTCTGGGGAAGCTGCCCCAAATTGTCCTATCGATGGGACGGCTCTGAGTGGTGGTGGCTTTGGAACAAATTGCTCAGTTAAACAGCAGTAAGTCCTCAAGCCCACATGGCATTCACCCAAGAGGTCAGCGGGAACTCGGATATGAAATTGCAAAACACTCAGCAAGGTGACATGTAGCCTGTCGCTTAAAGCAGCCTCTATACTAGCTGTCTGGCTGATAGCTAATGGTCTGCCTGTGTTCGAAAAGGACGCCCTTCCAGAAGCAATCCAGGCAATGATCGGCCAGAAAACTGAACTTTGGCAAACCGGTTGGAACTATAGTAAAGCATAGAACTATCAGACTGGCAAATGAAGCTGATTTGTGGGGGAACAGGCAACGCAACTTTGGTGAGGCAAGATTTCACTTTACAAATCTATTCCTATTCCCTGAGTGCATCATCAAGCTTATACAAAAGGGTGATTCAGTGGGGAAAGGAAATTGGACTTGAAGAGCCTTTCCCTTAGCAAAGGCTGTTCAGCAAAGTGAGCAGTTGTGGGTTTAGTGGGAAGATCCCTATGGATCAGTATCTGGCTGAAAGATAAACTGTTAGGAATAAATTGTTGGTTTACACCAGTGTTTCTCAACCAGTGGTACAAGTACCCTTAGGGAGTACTCGAGAGAAGTCTGGGGGGTACGTCAACACAACTGAAGTTTGAAGAAAACTGAATTTTTGTTATAAGTTTTACAGCGCTTTATTATTTTTGTACTTTTTACGCCCAAAAATTTCATTGCCTGCCTGGTTATGATTAAGTTGTTTAAACAAATGTGTTGCAATGGTAGAAAAAAAAAAGTCTGAAAACGTATGTACTGGGGTACTTATAATTTTTTTTTTAAAAAGGGGTACTTTATTAAAAAAAAAAAGGTTGAGAGACTGGTTTACACAATGAAGAGAGGTAAATAGTGGGTCCCCCAAAGATCTGTGCTGAGATAAGTGGTGTTCAACATATTTATAAATAATCTGGAAAAGGGGATGACCAGCGAGGTGGCAGAACTTGCAGGTGACCCATAATTAATTGACAGTTATGTCCGTCATCAGCCATGAAGCATTATGAAGGGCTCTCTCAAAACCGGGGTGCAAAATGGTGATGAAATTCAGGGTTGATACTCACATAGCAAGTGCATTGGAAAACATCACCCCAACGATACATATAAAATGATCAGGTCTAAGCTGGCTAATGCTCAAGAAAGCGTCGTTTAGCCATTCTCTGAAAGGATCTGTTCAACGTGCAGCAGCGGTTGAAATGTCTAATACTCTTGGGAGCCATCAGGAAAGGCCTGGGTAGCAAAACAGACCAAGTGCCACCACATAACTCATGGTGTGCCTGTGCTTTGAAGGCTGTGTGTGGTTAAGGTTGTCCCAGCTCAGAAAAGCTACGTTGGAAAGGCTGCAAAGTAAGGATGTGAGAGGTGAAGCAGTAAGCGCCGCCCTTGCTGGCTGATGCTTACCGGTGGTGATTAACTGTAGGAGGCTGGAGCAGTCCCCCTACACCTGCGGGCAGGGGGTTGCTTCAACCCAGCAGGGTCCCATGTGGGTAGGAGAGCTCCAGCCCAACTGAAGCAGCCCAGCTGGAGCAGGCCCAGTGCACCTCGGGCAGCGGCGCTTCAACACTTGGTCATGGGGGCGGAGGGCTGCTCCACCCTGGCCCTGTTTAAGCAGTGTTTAACCCGTTACCTGATTAAACGGGAGTTTACATCCCTAGTGCAGAGAAGGGCAATAAAAATGACGAGGGGATGTTTCCACCTGAATTAAAAAGACTGACACTCTACAGTGAAGAAAATAGACAGAAGGGGGAATATGACCTAAGGATGAAATCGTGACTAGTGTAGAGAAAGTGAATATGAAGGACGATGAGTGATCCAGTAGCACCTTGGAGACTAACAGATATATATATATATATGGTATCATGAGCTTTCGTGGGCAAAATGAGCAAGTGGGTTTTGTCTATGAAATCTCATGATCCTATATATATATTTGTATCAGTCTGAGGTACCATAGGACTACTCGTTTTTTTAGTCACAGACTAACACGACAACTCTTCTGAGACTTTTGACTATGAAAGGTTATTTGACCCTTCCTAGCACACAAGAACTAAGGTCTCCCGATGAAATTTATAAACAGGTTTAAAAATAAGATAATGCACAATAAACCTGTGGAACTCTTTGCTGGGGGATGTTGTGAAGGCCAAAAGCATAAAGAGTGCAAAAAAGAAATGGGTAAGTTCATGGAGGATATGGTAGCTAAGTGTAGTGACTGTTAGCCAAGATGCAACAGAGAAGCCGTACAGAGGGAAGTACATGTTCTGGGTTCCTGTTAAGCAACTGCCAGAACCGTCTGGCACTGGCTGCTGTCATGGATAGGCTACTGGGCTAGATGGGTCATTGGTCTGACCCAATCTGGCTGTTCTTACGTGACTAAAATCTTGAGTAGAATAAACTGACATGCTGCAAATTTGACAGTGCACTCCTACAATACCCCCCACAAAAGTGTCATCTTTTGCCTTTCCTGTGGTGACTCTTGATTACTAGGACTGGTTGAAAATTGTCTCAGCAGTTCAGACAGAAAATTGGGTTTCAGTGGAATTGTTCGTGAAGTGTTTGTTTTCCATGGAAAATTTTGAAAAACCGAATGCCCAACATCTGAAATATTTTGATTCAAGATGGCATGGTGGTGCTACCTGGAGGATGCAATTTGCAGGCCGTCTGCTCCCATTCTCTTGTAGAGAATGGGGTCACTGTCTGGACTTGGCTTCCCATGATGCTACAGCCCATGGCTCCTATAATGAATTTGCCCTTTCCAAACAGGGAGGAAGCATCATGGGAGATGTAGTCCAGACAGCAAGCCCAAATCTGAGAGGAGAATGGGAGCCTAAGGCACTCAAACTACAACTCCCATAAGGCACCGTTGCACCATTGTTTTTCAGTATTTCATGGGAAAATTGAAATGATCTTAAATTGTGCTTTTGCCAGTTTGTTGTCTTCTGGTTGAAATTGTGGGAGAATGCTGGGAAAGCAGGGAAGGCATAGCAGGTTTCTGTACACAGTGCAACTCCTTTAGTGCTACATTACCTTTGCGCCAAGCGTGAGAATAGCAGAAACCATACAGAGGGAAGTACATGAGTAAAGGCGTTCTGGTACATTGAAATGATCTTAAATTGTGCTTTTGCCAGTTTGTTGTCTTCTGGTTGAAATTGTGGGAGAATGCTGGGAAAGCAGGGAAGGCATAGCAGGTTTCTGTACACAGTGCAACTCCTTTAGTGCTACATTACCTTTGCGCCAAGCGTGAGAATAGCAGAAACCATACAGAGGGAAGTACATGAGTAAAGGCGTTCTGGTACATCCTGAGTGGCGTTAGAGGGAGGCTGGGCTGATGCTTTCAGCAGGGGACGAATTGGAAAAGCCAATCAGTCTTAAGAAATGAGGAAGAATTGTGAGAGTGTCAGGGGATCCTTTTATCTATTAAGGGTAGAAGCCGATCTCTTGAAAATCCTTTCTATCCGGGCTGAGCAAGATGCGGCCCTCGCGCTAGACCCACCCTGCCTAACGCTTTTTGAGCTGGCCCGTGGGCTGCATCTGGCTGCTTTGTATTTATATCCTACTGCCCGTACCACTGAATTTCCAGGTGGTGGCTCAGGCAGCAGCGTCCTGTTTAAATAGCTCATAGGTCCGGGTCATGGTGCTACCCTGGCAGGGGCTGGAGCTGCGGGTGCTTTAAATAGCCACAGCAACGTAGGGTGGTGGCCAGGCAACATGGTAGCAGCAGGGCTGGTAGCTGTGAGCCCTTTTCTGTGTTTTAATTCAAAGCCTCTGGCCCCAGGCAACTCTGGGAAGAATCTAGTCTCCAGGCCCCGCCCCTTCTTCCCCAAGCCCTGCCCCTTCTGGAGGTGGAGCCAGCCTGTGACCACGTGGCAAAATTTATCAAGAGACACACCCCCCCGTGAAAATTATTGACCACCCCTGCTTTATAGTGACAGTGGGAATGGAAACTTACAGGGTTCATGCAGAGGGGTAGAACAAACTGAAGTCTAACTTCACCATCCCAGTATGAACTAGTCCCCCACCATGGGATGAGAGAGTCCCCCTCAGCCCCAGCATTCTCAGCCAGCGGTGCAGGGAGACTGGGTTGGAAAGGGGGATGGTGGTGCTAACCCCTCCCTCCCCAAAGTGGACAGTGGTGACCAACTAATGCAGCCAGCAATAGGAGAAGTCCGGTCCTACGGGATGTAAGAGAACAATGGCCCGTGTCTTTACCTGCACACAGGCGATCACGGCAGGGGTATCGGTGCTGTTACGTTGTGTGAAAAGATGGGCTGACCCCATTAGGATCTGACAGCATGATTCCCGGGAGCCTAGCTATCCCATGCCAGACACAGGAACCATACACTCCACCCTGTGGCCTGCCTTCATCCTCCTGTGGCCATCCCACCTCCTTAGCTCTTCTGCATTGCAGTGGCAGGGCCCGTCTTTGCTGCCACGTGACTCCCTGCCTCATTTCCTTGGGTCTTGTGGCCACGTGGCGGAGGTGGCTAAACAGCCACAGTCAGCCGCAGGTCATGCCTGGTGCTCGCTGCTCCTTAGGGTCTTCTCTGGCCCTGGGGCACAGACCCACAGAGTCTTCCTGAGCTAGCCCCATGCAGGAAGAGCCTTGCTTCGAGGTGGTGCGCTAGGCTTGCAGCCTGTGGTGGTGAAGGGTAGGGAGACCAGCTCACTTTCTTTTGCTTTCGCCTCCAAGGTGCTGCCCCTGGAAAACAAAATGAAGAATCCCCGGCAGTTCCCTACGATCCTGTATGTGGGAATGGCCCTCGTCACCGTCTTGTACATCAGCCTGGGGGTTCTGGGGTACCTGCGATTCGGAGCCGACATCCAGGCCAGCATTACTCTCAACCTGCCCAATTGCTGGTGAGTCTCCAGTCAATGTTACTTACCCCTTCCTGTCACCCAAGAACTGGGATCGTCCGGTGACATTAATAGGCAGCGGACTTAAAACTAACCTAAGGAAGTAATTCACACAATGCACAGACAACCTGTGGAACTCACTGCCAGGGGATGTTGTGAAGGTCAAAATAGAACTGCTTTTACAAACCCCAGCTAGTTAAGTTCATGGAGGTGGGTCTCATCAATGGCTATTAGCCCAGACAATCAGGGATGTAACCTCATATTCTGGGTGTCCCTAAACTTCTAGCAGGGACTGGATAATGGGCTGGATCAGTCAATAAATTGCCCTGTTCTGTTGATGGCCTCTGAAGCACCTGGCACTGGCTGCTGTCTGAAGAAAGGACACGGAGCTAGATGGACCAGTGTGACTGCTCTTAGGTTCTGTGTGCATGGAGGTTGCATTGCCTTTGCCCTGTCCCACGTTATTAGAGGGATAAATACCAGGGAGGGAGAGGAATTATTTAAGCTTAATACCAATGTGGACACAAGAACAAATGGATATAAGCTGGCTAGTAGGAAGTTTAGACTTGAGATTAGACAAAGGTTTCTAACCATTAGAGGAGTGAGGTTCTGGAACGGCCTTCCAAGGGAAGTAGTGGGGGCAAAAGATCTATCTGGCTTCAAGATTAAACTAGATGGGTTTATGAAGGGGATGGTTTGATGAGATAACATGATCTTGGTAACTAATTGACCATTCATTATCAGTGGGAAATAGGTCAATGGAGGGATGATAGGAGTTACTATAGAGAACTTTCTGGGTGTCTGGCTGATGAGTCTTGCCCACATGCTCAGGGTTTAGCTGATCGCCATATTTGGGGTCGGGAAGGAATTTTCCTCCAGGGTAGATTGGCAGAGGCCCTGGAGGTTTTTCGCCTTCCTCTGTAGCATGGGGTACAGATCACAGCTAGAGGATTCTCTGCATCTTGGGGTCTTAAAAGTATTTGAAGGCTTCAGTTGTCTGAGATATAGATGAGAGGATTATTCTAGGAGGGGGTGGGTGAGATTCTGTGGCCTGCACTGTGCAGGGGGTCAGACTAGATGATCATAATGGTCCCTTCTGACCTTAAAGTCTATGAGTCTGCGGTAAGTATGGTAAGAGGCGTGTAACTGACTAATCGTGGAGTCGATACAGTTTTAATTTTGCTGCCTTCATTCCCCTATCTTTGAAACTGAAGTGATAGGGCTGTGAAGTCAGGGGTTTAAAAGCTCTTTGAAGTTAAGTGCCAGCTGTGTTTACTGGATTTGCGTTGTGCGTTTCAGTCCAACACTCTTGGCTTATTCATCAAAGGCAACACATAGCTACGGGGTGCTTGCAGGAATGGCTTGCGTGTGGCCTTTTGATGGATGTGTGTCAGGAGGCAGCCCAGGCTGCCGGCCGCTGCCTCACGAGTCACCAAATCAGAATTTAATCTAAATAGAAGCTGGTGAATTGTCAGCTGTGGGGGACTGTCTTGTCTAAGATGGCCAGATGTTGAGGCTGTGTCTTATATAGGCGCTTGTTACTATCCCGCTCTCCTGTCAGTGTTTCACAGCTGAGCCTTGTCACCATGAACAGGATTTAAAAAGAAAATTGCTTGGCCCCCAGGAGTCCAAACAAAGGTGCTGCCAAGTGCTCTCATCTAAGCCCTTCAGCTATAGAGCGGCCTTCTTTTTGTAAGACACAGGTTTCAAAGGCCTCTCTGAGGGTATGTCTACACTGCATTCCTCTTTCGAGAGAGACCTGCAAATGCAGGCAAGTGAAATTGCAAATGAAGCCGGATTTGAATGTCCCGTGCTTCATTTGCATAATCGCGGCTGGCTGCTTTTTCAAAATACCCTATTTTGAGATAAACGCTGTTTAGACCCGGTTATTTCGAGAAAAACCCCTTCTTTCAAAAGAACCCTTACTCCTTAAAAAATGAGGTTTAAGAGTTATTTCGAAAGAAGGGTTTTTTTTTTCGAAATCACCGCGTCTAAACTGTCCTGGTTGTACAACTCCTAAAAAGTTGGTTCTCTTGCCTGTAGTTCCTTTGACATGGCCCAGCGTGTGGTAGCCCCCAGCCATCCCTGGTCTGAGACCAGGGCCGTTCTCAAGTGGAGAAGACAAACTCCTTCCCTTTGTCTCGCTGGCATGTCTCACTGGAGGAGGGCGCCTGGCGTGACCGCTGCAGACTTGGGCACTGGCGTGTGAGCAAGGGTCCCGACCGGGCCACCCCCCCTACTCAGCGCTGCCATGTGACGAGTCCCTTATCCCAAATGCTCCGCGCCGAGCTCCAAAAATAGCCTGTTTGGTTTTATTTTAGTAGAGCAGGTGAAAGTGCAGGCGGCGGTGACGTCGGCGTCGCGTTGAACTTCCTAAGCCTGTGCTAATCCTGGCCGTGCAGCCCTTCCCCCGCGCTGCGGGGAAAGACAGGCATCAAAAGCTGTGAAATACTCGTGTCTAAAGCCGATTAAACTGCTTGGAAGGCCCCCTTGATCTTTTTCATTTGAAGGCAGAGTAGACTCGAGCGTGCTGCAGGACGAGGAGAAAAGGAGCGGGGTTTTTTTTTCTTCCTCCCACCAAGAACCCAGATTTGGCTAGCGAAGGCAGGGATGAGAGAGCCCAGGGAACAGGTAATGAGAGACAGCTTCCGTAACTGGAGTTCCTTGGCTGGGAGCCGGTGTGGGCGGCGGGTGGTAACTGACGTCAGATCAGCCATTTCCTGGTGAGCGGGTGGCCAGGCGGTAGGGATTAACCTGGCAGGTGGGCCCTGCAGGTGCAGCTGGGGACTGTGGTCAGGCAGCTAACCCAGCTGGGGCTGTGCACAGAGGCCGTTGGGCTCCAGTCAGCAGGAGTGTGGTAGCCAGTGGTGTTGTGTGGGGGTGTGCTCACCAGTTCAGGTCCCTGGCCCCTGCCACCCGCCCCGCTGAGGGTATGACACGTCTCCCTGGCTGAGCAGTGGGAGAAGACGGCAGCAGCTTGTTTTCAGCCAGGGGCTGACTGTGCAGCCTGTAGAGCTTCCCCCAAAGCCAAAGGTATTTAGGTGCCCAGACATGCAACGCCACATCTAGTGGGACCTCCCAAACAATGCCAGGCAGTATAGGCACCTGACTCCCATTGTGTTCAATGGCAGGTGCTTTCCTTAGACAGTTTTGCAAATCCCTCCAGGCACCCAGGTGCATCTTAGCACCTACATACCTGTGTCATTGTGGCCCTTGGTACCTTCCTGGTGGTCAGGATGGGTCAGAGCTCTTGAACCACTCGTCGTCGACAGCTCCAGTCCTGTCGGCTCGTAGGGCACCAGCCCACGCTGGGATCGCTCTCCTGGTGGCTGCAGAGCCCTCTGCCAGGGCAAGTGCCTTTCAGCTGTGGGCTGTAGGCAGGGGTGGGGAGCTCTTCTTGGGTTGGGGGCCACTGACCCACAGAAAAATCAGTTGGGGGCCACACAAAAGTGAGAAGAGCCAAAAAAAAAAAAAAACTGATTGAGAAGGAAAAAGACACCAGTGTCTGGGGGGGGGAAGGGGAGGCAGGCAAGTAGATTTTATGCACCCTGCCCCCAGCGGAATGCCTCTTGCGCTGCTTCCCAGGCAGGGGTCGAAGCCCACCTCTTTCCCAGCCGTGGCCGTGGTTTGGCTTTGTCTTCGATCCGCCTCGGAGGTGACGGGCGTCCCCTGTTCCCTTGCAGGCTGTACCAGTCTGTCAAGCTGCTCTACTCCATTGGGATCTTCTTCACCTTCGCGCTGCAGTTCTACGTCCCGGCTGAGATCATCCTGCCCGTGGCCATCTCCCAGGTGCCGGAGCGCTGGGCCCTGTGGCTCAACCTGCTTCTCCGGACGTGCCTCGTCTGCGTGACGTGTGAGTAGGCGCCAGCCCCCTTGGGGGCGCTTGGAGGGGCGAGGGGGCGCTCAGGAACTTGAGAAGCCAGGTCAGCGTGTGGCGGGTGCGAGCGAGTGGGGTTTCCCCCTCCCAAATCTCTGTAACCCACCCCAGGGTGGCAGGCAGGGCTATGCCCCCTCTCAGGTCTTCACCCCCTAACCCCCTCCATGATCTCCAGCTGCGTGTCGTCTCTGCCCTCTTGGCTGTGCTTGGAGACCCTGCAGAATTGATTCCTCTCTCCTGCATTTTTAAACGCTGACCAGTCTGTGTACAGCGTTGGGACCACATTTTATGGCAGGTGAGGGAGCGGGGTGGGAACCCTTGGAAAAGCGTCGGCACCTAATCCTAGAATCTCCGGCAGTGCTCACTGGCCACAGGTCTGCATTACCAAACCTCCGGGCAGTCCGGCGCCCCTTGGTACGATGGGGAGGCTCTGCCCAGGCCAGCCCGAGGCCTGGGATCAGTGGCATTGCTGGTTAGGACTTGCCAAGCATCTGTTCCTTCCTTGCCCTGGCTCTAATCAGCGGCTGCCCTGCTTGGCTCTGCGTGAACCCAGGAGCCGTGTGTTGGAGCTCACTGGAAGCTTGCATGGGCCTGGCCCCCGTTGGGTCACGTATCGGGGAGGCGTTACTGAAGTGCCGGTGATCAGGCCCTGTCAGAAAGCAAAGCATGGGGCAGGCCCCTTGGTGCGCTGAACGCGCAGTCCAGTACCGCCCTGTCTGCAGTGTGCACTGCCTCGTCGGGCTCGTGCGTGCTCCTGACAGCGGCTAGCTGCTCTCCCTGGCTTGTAAGTGGCTCACAAGCCTTCGGAGAGGAAACTTCTTCCGGTGACTAAAGTTGCTGGCGAAGACGGTAGTGGGGGGGCAGGGCAGGGCGTGGGGAGTGTGTCTGGGGAGTGTGTCCAGTCAGCCAGGCTCGCTTTCAGATAGACCTGACCTGCTTCTCCAGGCCTCTTCCTTTCCCCTCTTGGGGAGTCTGTTTTGAAAGCGAATCTCTGTGGCTGCTGGGGGGAATCTCCACCTCCCTCGTCCCCACCACAGGACCGCTCTTAGCTGGCATTTAACGGCAGCGGGCAGGAAGGCAGAAGGGAATCTGGAGATGATGCGTCGGTAGCTTCTATGGCGTGAGCCTCAGCCCTCCTGCCAGCAGCTCATCGGGGGGGGGGTTTCCTGGCCCAGAGTTGTGCTGCTGGGGGGCTCAGCACATGTGAAACTGCCCCTGCCTAGAGGGACTGTTCCAGCATCGTAGGCCAGGAGGGTGACGCCCTGGTGCAGCTTTGCCAGTGGCAATGTTGGCTTTCACCAACCCGACCCCTATGCTTCTACTCCAGGGAAGCGCTCCCCCTTAATCGAGAGTGGATGGGCCATTCCTCCCGTCTGTCCTGACTCTTTGTCCGACTACCGAGTGGCTGAGCCCAAATCGGTGTGTTAACAGAGAGCTGGCTAATGGAACGGGCCACCCCTCGGAGCAGGGGGAGCAGCTCCTATAAGTCGCCCTCGTGTGGATTAGCCCCAAGAAAAGCCCTCGCCCCAAGGGACTTTGAAGGCTGAGAGATTGGGTGCCGCCGGCAGGTGGTTGGAGTTGGTCTTGCCTGCAAGCTGTGCAGACTTCCCGCGTACCGAGGAGTTGGCTGAGATGAGGAGTGCATCCTCCATTGGGCAGGGGCTGGTCTGGGTCTGTCCCTGTCCCTGGCTACCCGGGAACAGCAGCCGGCGATGCTGCGTTCCACATCTGGCTGGTGAAAAGACTGCACTTCTGGCCCTCCCGTGCAGCCCTCGCCAGGACAATCGGTTGTCTCGTCTGTGTTGTCGCCGCATGGCACTTTGAGCCCCCAGGCAGTAGCCAGTCTCCTAGGACAGACTAAAGGCTTGTACTGATACTACCCACCCCATCCCGCATCCTCTTCAACATCTTGGCCCTCCTTTCAGGGCGCCGGGCGCCTCGGGGCTACAAGGCAGCCGAGATGCGGCATCTGGTGGGACCCAGAGCCAGCAGTGAATGGAGGAGCTCTTGGTGGCAGGCCTTTGCCTAAGGGGCGCTTTGCCAGAGGCTTGGTGCTTGTCAGCGGACAAAGCAGGTCGTGTGTCTGTGGGTGGGTCTCCTCCGGAGGAGTGCAAGCAGCCAACTAGCCTTCCCCGTCAGGGGTACAGAACCGCGGCTGCTTTCATGCTGGCCTCTGCTGTCCCCTTCGATACCACGGCAGCGAGCATTACGGGGGCAGCCAGCAGTTCTCACCAGGCTGGGTGTGTAAGGGGGCCAGTGTGGACGGGCTCAAACTGCGTTAGTGAATTCAGTGAGAATCGCTGTGTAGCGGGTCCCTGGGTGGGCAGATGCCAGAGCTTTCCTCTGAACCCTTCTCTTCGGACCTCGCAAGCCAGAAGACGCGGAGGGGGCGGGGGTGGGGGACGATGGCTGCCACCTCCTTTCCAAACCACTTACGGCCAGTGAGTCCTACAGGGAAATCACGAATTGAGTTCAGCTTGTTTTCCTGCATCCCGTTTGTCCCAACAGCAGTATCTGCTGCTAGAAGCCGACTTCCCCACCCCAACTGGCTGGGGGGAGGGAGGGGTTGACTCTGGCTTTGGCTGGTTCAGCCAGGTTGATAACCCCCGACCCCCCGTCCAAAAAACCATCTTTACATGCACACACCCTACTGCTCCGCTTGCTGCTTTTCAGAGCAGAAGAAGTGGGTGGTCCCCACCAGAGCTCATGCCACCATCCACTTGTCTTGTCGGTCTCTAAGGTGCTGCAGGACTTTTCGTTTAAGTTTTTCCAGTTAGACTAACACGGCTCCCCCTCTGAAACCTGAGAGGCAAGAGGAGTTTCCATCCGACATTTTATCTCCTCCCACCCCACTCTTTAGATCTACTGTCCAACGGCGTAATAAGCAGGGCTCGACAAACCGCTGTTTCTCCTCGCCCGATTTCAGCCGCTCGCTCTGTGTGCCCAATTCACCGGCGCTGCACGCCTGCGCAGTGCTGGTCTGGTGCGCGCGGGGCTGGCGAGTAGCTCTCGCTGCAGTTTGTCGAGCCCTGGTAATAAGCATGGACTTTTTAATTCTTTACTGCAGGGGTAGTCAACCCATGTGGCTCTTCAAAGAAAAAATTATAGCTCCCGTACCCACGGCTCTGAAAGGGGCATTGCATTTCGGTTTGAAAGAGACCGAGTTAGAGTTGCCGTGTCCCGTGCAGACTTCAAAATGGCTGCCTTAAAAGGGCAATGCCTGCTTTGCTCTTAAAACGGCAGTGGCCAGGCTTGGGGTTTTTTTCCTCCCCCTCCCCCCCCCCAACAACTTTTTTCCCTTAGCTCTTTGTGCTGTATCCACCACTATTTTGGCTCCTCGTCTGTAATGGATTGGCCACCCTTGCTCTACTGACTTATTCGTTCCTCCCTGAGTTTGAAAATAGGAATTAGAAGGAGAGCAAGGCAGTGTGATGCTCATCTTCTCTGCTCTCCTCTGGACGCAGGGCAGTACCGGAAAGATCATACTTACCCTCTGAAGAACAGTCCTAAATAAGAGGACAGGAAGTTACCAGCATTTGGAGGGCTAGCATGGGCTAGTGTAGATGAAATAGGGCATGCGGTCTCCTTACTACAGGAGACTGTGCTACAACAGAGCATTCCGAGAGCCCTCGGGAGCACTTCAAAACCTTCACTGCTCTCCCGGTGCAGCCTGTCTGGGTCTAAGAGATTCCAAGAGCCAGAGCCGACTGCTTCAAGCAGCTACGTAGACTAGCTGGAGTGAATCCAGAGCTGGAACTGAGCGGCTCTGACAAGGCTGGGAAAGAACAACGGGTTAAAGCAGATGGGTTTTGGCAGGCGGTCCCACAGAGGGCGGATTAACCATCGCCACAGAGGTGCTAAGGGGGCGGTCAGGGGCGCGGACCCCTGACGGGTTTGTGCATTGGGAGGGGTGTGAGTGTAAGAGCGCAGGCTCTAAGGGGATCAGGGCAATTAAGCGGTTTGCATGAATATTAATTGGAATGTGCTAATGGCCTTGGCACAAGCCTGCGTCACAGCCTTGGTGCCCAGAGTGAGGGTGCTGTTTGGGGTTTTTTTTAGCTTGGCACTTCAGAACCTACCCAGCTGGAAGCCCTTTGCATGAATATCTGTGGGAAAACTCCACAGTCGTCCCCTGAGGCGGCAGAGCAGCAGCTGGCGGTTTTAGGTTTGCTGCTTGTTTTAATCTCGTTTGCTTTGAGCCGCCAGGATCCAAGGAGTGGTAGGGGCCTTGCGATGGCTCATTTAGCAGCCTGTTCCTCCGCTTGTCCTGTGCGTGGTGTCTGTAGGGCTGTGCCTTTGGAAGCTGGGGTGGGGGCAGCAAAGGGGGAGGAAGAGGTGAGAGGAAAATGAGGTGCAAAAACAGGAGGTCTGGCTCTTGTTACCCCTCAGCACCCTCCCTCCTATCCTTAAGTTCATACCCTTAGCCTGAGCCAGAACTCAGCAAGCACCAGACTTGGCTTAAGCAATGGGACAAGGCAGCCCCTTCAAACTGCAGCATTGGAGTTGGTGACTTCCATGAAGATCTGAAACCTCTTTCCTTATGGTGCTTTGGGTGTGATCCAGGCTTCCTTTGCTCCCTCGCCTGATGGCCGATGGACTCTGGAGGTAGCTTGTGGTGCTGGTGAGGTCTCTGCTTGTACATAGCTGCCTGTAGCGCAATATGGCCAATGCGGTGTTTGGGCCACCGGCTGAGCCTGCTTCTGAGGCCTGGGAGCCAGAGACCCGAGTTCTAATCTTGCCTTTGATGCTAACCAACTCTCCTGACAAGCTGATTTGCCTTGAGGTGTAAGGACTGCGCAAATTGAGAGGTTGCTTCGGCCGTGTAGCTATGATTCCTGTTCAGTTCAGTGGGAGTTGTACCCTGTGAGGGCAGAGTCGGGCTCCAGTGTGGTCAGAACACTTTAAATTTTAAGATCTACAGCCGTATTTTCCCCCTACAGAAACATTCAGGCTCCGAGGGTTTTCTCTTTAGCCCC